ATTTATTCCTAGGTATCTTATGGTTTTGGGTGCAATTGTAAATGGGATCGACTCCTTAATTTCTCTTTCTTCTGTCTTGTTGGTGTATAGGAATGCCACTGATTTCTGTGCATTGATTTTATATCCTGCCACTTTACTGAATTCCTGTATGAGTTCTAGCAGTTTTGGGTAAATTTAAGAAAAAATTACTTCAAGTTTGCAAAACTTCATGCAAAAAATTAATGTAAACCATTGTGCTTCACCATGGATACTGTCACAAATCCAGTTTCTCAGAGGGTAGACCTAGATAATTTGCTGCCTTGAAGCTCGAGTAGCACAATAGGTGATAGATTTCTTATCAGAACCAATCACTGCTATGCTAAAACCTCAAGCAAAACTTTACATACCATAGGTCAGGACTGGGTGGGGGTCCCCCACCTTTCAGGGAGAGGCCCCTTCGCCAAGGTTTTTAAGTTGTAATCAGGGTTGATGGAATACTGACATGGAAGTCCCTGAGTGGCAAAAGGCAAGAGTGTTTTGCTCTGTTCTTCAAGAAAACACAACAGAGGAAAAGAAAATGGGTGTTGGCAGTGAAGTAAGACCCAGAGACCTAAGTGTGACCACTGATTTACCCATCATTTAATAACAAGTATTTGAGGTCTGATCACTTGGCATGAGGCATTGTGTCTTCCAAGTAGGATCCCTTTATACATGATAGCTTGTTGTTGATACGATGCTGGTAAATAATTGTGCTTCTACACAAAAACAAGTTCAGAGACACTCCCCTTTATATCTTTCTTCTATATTCTTGCTTTCCCTTTTAATAAATTCTTCTGACTACTGTCATTCTTCTCTGTTTAGAAATCCCAAAGAGATGCTATGTGCCAGCAAGGGCCCTGAAGATAGCAGGTGCTCAGAAAAGTGTTTATTAAGTGATGAGCTAATTAGTTTGAAAAATCCCAGTCCTTCTTTAATGAGATTGAATTGAACATAAAGACTATGGAAAGTGTGTAGAGCTTGTAGCACTTCCTAAGTGATCCTGTCTTAAATTTTCTCATTTACTTAGATTTTCTAGGGAGTATTCTATTAGGAAGAACGTTTGGACTATATTTTATGATTCTCTATTAAGCATTTTTCTGAATAGATCTATACCAGCTTTTTCAAAACATTAGGGCTTGGCACAAGTGAAAAAAAAGTGAAGCATATCTAAAATTAATCAGTTAAAGTACAATGCTTTTTCTGTAATGGCATCTACTGTCACAAAATAGGATTTATCATAAATGCTTCAAAATAATGAGAATGAGTTGTCTCTGATGTCACAGTGTCAGCTAGAAAAACTTCAAGAACACACTCTATTACTATCACCTTTGGTATAAAATTTACCAAGTTGCTACTCAGCTACTTAAATATTTGCTATCCCTTGCAAAACTTTTAAAGTTTGTATCTTTAGAGGTCTCTCAACACTACTTTTATATATAGTTTATCTTGCCTATGAGTCAGTTTTCCCTTAAATGAAGATATATGAAGCATTTGTATTTTAGTCTAAAGTTGGGAATGTAAATTTTTTAAGATTATATTTCAAAAAAAAAAATGGGGACTGACCAGAGCAGGCAAGTGGAGAATCTTGCTAAACCAGGACTTTGAACTTGGCTATTGTCTTGCCCAAAATAACTACAGCTCTCTATCCTTATTGCCGTTAGAGGACTGAGGCTCATAGGGATTTAGTCCACATCTGCTCAAAATGTGGCTTTGGAGCTGAAGCATAACTGGTTAGAAAGGAGAGACCATAGCTTTTCTTCCCCAAATGATGCATGATAACCACTTGGCTTCAAAAGATTTTACACCCATCTGGGAATTAATGGAAGGTAGCTTCCCAAAGACTTTATTTTGTTTCACTCTGAGAGTAGTTAGAGCTGTTTTATCAGCCCCCACCAGAATGGATGGAGGAGGTAAGTACCTACCTTCTCAGTACCTACACTGGCCAGTGTTTCTGGTTGATAACCACTTTATTCTCATCCTCAGCTTCACAAAGGAAAGGGCCAAATGTGCCACGATGAGAGAGATGCATGTTTTCACTTGGCAGTGACTTCACCCACCCACCCCCATCTGTTTTGGATACTGAGGTGGTTTCATTTTGCAATTCATTGCATGCCTGACAGTCTGGCTATAGCATATAAGGAGAGAGAAAGAAAGGAACATGAATGAAACTTCCTTGGAGATTAAATGATGGACCATATATTGAGATATATAAAGTGATGCTCCAAGGTTAAAATAATCTTCCCTTTTAAATTGGCATTGATTTATATGATGTCTGCACTTAAGTCCTGGACACCAGCAACTCAGCTCCCAGTCGTGCAGCTTGGATTCTGCTGAAGCAGCCACCCGTGGGAGGATGAGCAGCAGGCAACTCAGACACTCCTCCTCCCCATTCTAAACTCGAAGAGTCCACAGGTCATTCCCTCATCCGAGGAATCCTCAAAGGCCAAGGAATTGTCCTGTGGTCCCTGCACAGGAGTTGGTCTTTTCCCCTATAGTTTTTTTTATGTCTTCTGGAGGGAGAAGCTTAGGTATAAAAAACCTTCTCCCCTCCTGGCACAAATCAAAAAGGGAATTGGGAGGGAGGGAGGGAGGGAAGTAAGGAAAAGAGAGAGACTAAGGAGTAAGGTTGGGAAGATTATATAAGTGTATTTATATGTATTTTTGCATGCCCACTTGAGGCTGCAAAGAATAAAAGGTAGATTTCCCTCTCCATCACAAAAATAATTTACAAACAGCTGCTCCCACTTTATAAGATTGTTTGCAAAATGAAGCAACAATGCTGAGAATATTCTTCCCCTTAAGGAAAATCTGCTCACAATTCAAAAAACTGCTCTTCGTCGTCTCCAACTCTGGGGATTTTAATAAAAATTTGATAGGCTCTGTCAACTGCTAACGCCATCAGATCCAGAGCCTCTTGCAACAGTCTAGATGGGGGAAAAAGTGTTATCTGTGGAGACCCAGAATGGGAGGATTTTACGTTTGATATTGTTTTTAAAGATCCACATTGCAAATGCATAGTTGTGCTATCTTACATCGCCACACTCGGTGCAATTTGCAGAGAATCAGTCTCAGCGGTTGGAGATTGATGCTGTGCCTCCCAGCAACCAATTCTCGTGTTCACTTCTCCAAATTGTTGATCCAAAAAAACCAATTTTGCTAGCAAAATAATCTATTTTCCTTTCAAGTATCAAATCATAACTTCATTTCAATATCCACAGACTAGAAAGGACAGAAAATCTTTCTCCAAAAATCAAACATTCAAAGTCTTTCCAAATAGTGAGTTAAACCCACCCATGGCCTAGAAAGTGAAGGCTTCCTTGGGGACACTAAAGGCAACCCTTCTGGACCCAGAAGATTCAGAAATAAAATTTAAATCCTAACTTCCTGTCTCTTCCTCCTTATGAACCATCTCCTGTGGCTCAACCTATCCATGTCCAGGTACATCCCCTTTTTTCAGAGAATACCTTCTCCAAGTCAAGTGAATAGCTTGAGTCTTCCCATGAGTGAAGCAAACATATGGAGCTCTGGTAGGCAATAAATAGCCCTGTTTTTTTCTTTGGGCATGAAAGCTACCAGAAAATCAAGATTTTAGAACAATAGAGCATATGGATAGAATAATATGAGCTGGTGCTATAGAAGCAATTTTTCATCCCAATATCCCAATTAGAACATCTCTAATATCCTGTAGGTTGTGGGGAGGTGTGATAGGAGGGGGATCTAAACCAAGATGCTATATTGGTTCTGCTCTGCAATTCAAGAGCATGGGACCTCCCAATCCAAGACCATCTCTGGATAAGTCATGTCATAGACCAAAGCATGTTCCAGCTTCCCCTAAAATTTTCTGCCTTAAACACAGCCAGGGAGAGATGCTGATGGATTGTATACACTGACAGGCATCATGCCCAAATGACTAGTATGTTTAGGAAATGCCTCAGAGTTACGTTTTATGCAGGTTGCATCTAAGCAACCTACCATTTTGTAACTGCTGATTCTTTATGTATGTGTGTATGTGTCTTAGAGTTTCATACTCATTTTCAAATATGTCCTTATAATAATATACAGCTCAGGATTTTGAGAATACAATTTTTATTTTCAATTCAGACATCTCAGATCAAAGTTAAACAGGAAAAATGAGAAATGTGTGTCACAAGACCAACAATAACAGCAGTTATAAACTACTTATTTTTGATTGGAGTAGGATGAATAACATGGAAGGTATATTTAAAATGTCAAATTATAGCAACAGTGATCTGAATGCATACCTCTGTATATTTTTGTCGTGTAAATGTTCCTCTACTTTTTTCTACCAACTCATAATATTTTAATAAAAATTTTTAATAGGAGAAAACACATAAATTAGAATTATAGGCTTATTTATTCAACAAATATTTATTGAAAATTTCCTGTATGTTAGGTACTGTGCTAGGAATGGGGCATTCAATTCCATCATGGAGCTTACATTCTAGGGCAAAAGGTGCAAGCTTCTTTAAACAAACACAAAAATAAAAATATTAGTATTATAAAGGAAAAATACAATATCCAATGAGAAGATATGAGAGGGGAACCTGTCTGGGAGACCTGCAGGATCTTCCATGAATGGCATTTTATCATAGTTGAGACCTGAGGGATGAGTAGTTGCTAACTGGACAGAGGAGTGAAGACAGAGTGATGACCTAGAGGGTGAAATGGAAAGTATCTTGGTCAATTTGAGAAGCCAAAAGAAGGCTGTTACAGCTGGAAATTCTGAGGGAGAACAGGGGCCACCATGATCCTGGAGAGGGAAATGCGTTTAGGTCATATGGGATTTTGATGGCTTTGTAAAAGTTTAGAAAGAAGGGACTCAGAATGCCTTAACAGTATCTCTCTGACCTTATATAGAAAATGTAGGTGTGTTGGGGCGCCTGGGTGGCTCAGTCGTTAAGCGTCTGCCTTCGGCTCGGGTCATGAGTCCCAGGGTCCTGGGATCAAGCCCCGCATCGGGCTCCCTGCTCGGCGGGAAGCCTGCTTCTCCCTTTCCCACTCCCCCTACTTGTGTTCCATCTCTCTGTCTCTCTCTCTCTGTCAAATAAATAAATAAAATCTTTAAAAAAAAAAAAAGAAAATGTAGGTGTGTGGAGAGCAAGAGTGGATTATAGAATGCCAGTTAGGGAGCTACTACAGTAGTCCTGGCAAGCCATGATGAGTGAGGGTAGGTAGTGTAAAGAGAAGAGATTTGGGGAACAGAGGCAGCCAGGCTAGATGACTGACTGGATTTGAGGAAAAGGACAATGGTCTTAATAATGTTATCCAGATGGAAGAAGGAAGACTTCTATGGAAGGGAGAGGATGAATTCAGATTTTCTTTCTTTCCTTGTTTTTGTGTTTTTTTTTTTTCAATTGTAAAATTAAATTACCATGCATTTTAACAAGTAACCATAGAGCTAGATTAGGAAGAAGCCAACGGTTATTATCCCACTTCTAGACTAATGCATGTTAACAGCGTGATGTAATTCTTTCATCTTTCTCTCTCATATATGTGTGTATTGTTGAATTTTTTTAATTCAGTTTTGAACTTGTTAAATATGAATTTCTTCAAAATTTATAAGTGAATACAGCAAGTGGAAAATTAGATACATTGGGTCAAAGCTCAGAAGACATACGCTGGGTTTATAGATTTGTCTTTGTGTAGATGATACCTAAGCCACGGGAGCAAAGAAGAGTGTCCAGGAGAATATGTTGAGTCACAAGAGAAAAGGATCTGGACAGAGTCCTAAGGAAATCCAACATTTACACATTAGGTTAGGGAGGAAGTGGAGAGGTCAGAGAGACAGGAAGATACCAGGAAAGTGAGGTATTATACAAGTCAAGAGAGTGGCGAGTGCAGCCAAGAGGTTAATTAATGGAACGTCCATTATAGTAAGCAACAAAGATATCATTAATAATGTTACAAAGTCATATCAGTGGACTCGTTGGGGACCAAGAGAAGTTGCCAGGCATTAATTTGGAGTAGTGACAATTTGCCCTTGGAGGTGTGATATTTCTCCCAAATCACCTCCTGGGAGGAAGTCACAGAGAAGATAAATAGCGTCTACAAAGTTGGAGTTTTTCAGGACTATTTCACAGAAGGTAAGAGAGGCAAAAGTGATTAACATGGTATTCAGAAAAAGCTATTATTACAGCACTGTTACCTGACTATATTTTAATGCAGGGGCTGAATGTATTAATAATAAATGGACTTTTTTGTATTTTTATTTATATATATATATATATTTTTTTTTTCCACCTAGGGAAACCTTGGTGAATATGGAGCTCATGGCCTAAAAGGAGAGAAGGTAATCAGATTTGTCCAAGTGAATAAAAATATAAAAATATCCAGGGTTTTACGCCAACATATACATTCCCATGTCAGGGACAGTCCTGCTGCCATGTAGGCTTGCGTCTCTGGGGAGTCTCCAGTGGGCACAAGCCTCCCTGCCTCCTAACCAGACAGTGGGATTAGGCATTGAGGGTCTGCTCCCCGGTGAAGACTGCTGAATAGCAGCTGGCTGCAAGGAGGGAACACATCTAGGGGAAATAGCTGTAACAAAGCAAAGGAAATTAGGACCCAAGCTTCGATTCATAAAGCGATGTTTCATGAATTGTTGTAGGTGGCAAAACCATCTGAAGACCCCTTTAGCAAAATGCCTTGGGCTCAGGCTCCCTATTTTTGTGTCTTCTTATGTACCCAAACATAAGCTGTCGTGGGGGCATTTTTTTGGTGGGGTTTAATAGTGTACAATCATAGTTTAACTAAATGATTATTTCAAAAACAGTATTAAAATTAAAACGCTGGTGGATTTCTATTGCGTCCTCATCGTCATCTGTCACCAGCTTAATTATATGAGGCGGAAGATGACAGATTCACTTGCCCACTCAGAAAGATGTTTCACTCTGGTCTGATTCTGAAATTGTGATGACCTTGGATTCAGTGTGAATGTGCCATTGTCAGGAAAAAAACAATGCACATTAAATCTATAGAGATGAGTAGGTCTGAAAACACTCTGAGGGAATGTGGCCTGTGAGTGCTACTTTCATTCGTTCACTCAGTAAAAATTCTCTTGATTGAGGGCAGGGTATTTTGACATGAATCCAAGAAAATATGACTTCTGTGCCTCATAAATCAGTGCAACCAATCTATTCAAAAGATCATACATCTATCACCAGAAAATACTGCTAAAAGATAGTCTCAACAGAAACTAGGAACTTCTTTTAGATTGACCATTGAAAATGAAATTTTCTGCAAAAAAATAAAACCTTGACATTCTTAAAAAGACATCCAAAAAATATTGATTATACAGCAATAATAAGGTATTTGTGTGTCTGGGATTTTACTGCTAGTACATTAGCATTATTTTCTGTAACCAGATAGCTTACAGAATTTCTACACCACCGTACGAACACATTATTTTAAGCAATTACTACTGCACACATGCAGGCTAACGGGGGAGAAAAAGCCACAAAGCTTGTCACATAGGACAGCTGAGCAAAGAAGAGTGTTGTGGCACTTTTAAAGTATTTAAACGATGATTCATTTATTGAAACCAAACAGCTGGCTTCTGATTGGCTATGTTCATTAGGAAGCACATGTTACTCAGGAATTCCTAAGACCTCGGTGATGAGAAATTTGATTCTGCCAAACAGGTGTATTTCAAACTCTAAGGACCTTTTCTATTCCTCAGAATCTTTTCTAATTGCTTCAGAATCTTAAGTGGAATTAGAAAAAGCCAGGGGCGTAACTGTTCCCTCCTCTCACCCAGAGAAATAACCTAGAAGAGTCTACAGGGAACTTGATGCAGTACCTGATATAAATGTACATATGAAATGATTTGTAAGAATTCTGATTAATGGGAGAAGGACTCTGCCAATAAATAATACATAAAATAAACTGAAAGACAAGCATAGCATTTGCTGGAAGAATGAAGTCACCTCTACCTATACATAGGTACTAAGTGGTTAGTGTCTGTTCTGAATCAATACATTTATTTTTTAAATTATTATGCTGTTCATGGGTCACCATAATAAGAATTTAAACCTCCTTCAAGCTGCCCTCACAGATTTTTCCTTGCACCTATGGTGGACCTTGGTGGTTCTGAACCCTGGCTGCACACTGAAATCACTTGGAGAGCTCTTAGAAAATGCCAGCGCTCAGACCTCACACCCAGAGACTCTGATTGGGTGTGAAGCCCATACCTCTGGTTGATCTGGTCCATATCGCTATTATTTAAAAGTGCTTCAGATGATTCTAATGGGCAGCCAGGATTGAGAACCACGGAGTGGTCAAAAGAACATGGGCTCTGGGGGCAAAATTGATTGTACCATTAACGGCTGTGTTGGGAAAATCATTTTTTTTCTCTGAGCATTGGTTTCCTTGTCCGTAAAATGGGCATAATTGTGTTTACACAGAATTGATGGCAAGACTGAAATCAAATGAGATGAGATGAACTTACCCAAAAGCACAATACCTGACACATATTAAGCCCACACTAAAGATTTGTTCCTTTCTATTCATCTGCTCCAAACTTTCTTCTTATGAAGTCTCACTTCTCTCTCTTTGGTATTAATAACCGTTGCCATCCTTGACACCTGCTCTTGTTCATCTTTGTGCCTCCCACCATAATTTTGATAGAGAGGGACTCAGTTTATGTGGTTGAACAAAAGATTTAATGAGAAGTACAATTTCAACACATAAGTGACTTGTTATTGCTATATATCACTTCTCCATGCAAAATAGAGTCACAAAACCAGCCTACCATTTGGATCCCAAAATTACAGTGAAGCACCAGAACAAACACAAACAGCAGTAGAATCTACACACAAATCACTCCTGGCTTAGCAGCCACATCCTATATCAAGAGCACTTAGATACAAGGAGAAACACCAATGAACACTAGTGGCTATTAATGGTAAATGGCAGTAAAGACCATGGCAGCTATGGGACCAGTCCACCAGTGTTGAAATGATGACCTCTGCTCTGTAGTTTTCCTGAGACTGGCAGCATGTGGTGAATGAATAATGTATTTGCAAATTGGTTAAAGAGAACTGCTCCTTTATATAGACAGTGGAATAAGGTGGCAGAATATCTAAAGACTCCTAAGAATCTAGCAGGTATCTTTTGGAGCCAGCTCTCAGAAGGAAGATTTAGCCTCAACAGCACAGGCCTTTCAAATAGCATTGAAAGTGTCAAATTAAAGGACAGCCTTTTCTGAAGCTGAGTAAATTCATCACTTATCTTTCAGCTCATACCCACAGTGCTAAATCACTGAACATTCATTTTAAGTATGAAAAACAACTCCTCATGTGTCTAAAATTCAGGTATGAAATGCTTTTGTTTGCAGAATTTTATATGAGGGAATAGGTGCCTAAGATTTCCTCTAAGTCCAGCCTTACCCAAGTACCACTCAGAGAGATGGACAGATGCCTCTGTTGGGTCCTTTTTCTACATTTCAAAGGAGACTTATTTACGTGGGTTCAAACATACAGCAGTTATGAATGTAATTACTGTTCTTCCTCGAACAATCCCCTCCTCTTCCCCTTTGTTATCAGGCAGAAGTGATTTTTATAGTAATTTCTGGACCTCTTTCCCTGATTTCTACTTTTATATTTTGCAGATCAGTCTAACGACTAAGCATATTTTTCTTTCACACCTATGCACTGGGGATTTTTTTTTAAGATTTTACTTATTTATATGAGAGAGAGAGAACACGAGTAGGGATGGAGGGGCAGAGGGACAGGGAGAAGCAGACTCTCCGCTGAGCAGTTTTGGGAGCCCGATGCAAGGCTCCATCCCAGGATCCCGAGATTGTGACCTGAACCAAAGGCAGACGCTTAACCAACTGAGCCACCCAGGTGCCCCTGCATTGGGGATTTTAACACCTACCAGATGAGTAACACGTACCAGATGAGTAACAGGAAGGTCACTGTGTACCCCCTAACGCTCAGCCAAGTCCAGTTGTTTATTTTCTTTTTAAAACCAACACCAATTGGCTTTTTAAATATATCCACCAATTTCTCCCTTTTCTTACTTTGGATAGAATTTGTCATATCTAGAAAAAAATGGCTTCTGCTACAGTGTGGTAAGTATAAGACCGATGATGGTACACTAGATGTTTAGATGGTAGAAGGAAAAATGCTTATATTAATAAAATCAAGATTAATTTTACAAAATATATTCCACACATCTAGAAGAATCCTTTGAAAACTACGATCTTGTTTATCAATTGCATATGACAAGTTCTATCTTCCTCTAGTGTAAAGTCACAAGATATTGATTTCGATAGCAATGTGGAAATAAGCCAACACTTTTAGGACTGTAATAAATTTTTACTTGAAGTACTTTGGGTAGACTGTTGTTGTTTGAGGCTTCAAAATAAACAGATAAACACATCCATAGAAGGGGAGAGAAATGGAGATGTGTGCTGCAGGCTTGTTTATAATAAGGAAAAGCTAGAGACAACCCAAATGCCCATCAATGGGGCTTGGATAAACCCCGGTACATTAACATTTTCCAGTAGTTACAATGAGTGAACTAGATCTATATGTATCAATAGAAAGGGATATTAAAAACAACCTTGAGTGGAAAAAAGCAAGTTCTAGGATGTAAAATATAAAATAAAGCTATTTATGGAATTCATTATAAATATCCAAATAATATATTGTTCATGATTACGTATATGCAGTAAAAGTGAAAAACTATGGACTGAAAATATAAATATACATTTAAGAGAGTGGCTCCCTTTGGGACAGAAATAGGGGGGAAAATACAGAAAATTTCTTCTTTGTAAATTTTTGTATTTCTTTCATTTTGGTTGCCTGGTACACAGAGGTTTGCCATATTCTACTTCATGTTTTCTGTAGTTATTTTTTTCAAAATAAAAAATATACAAGACATCGTGTGAGAAAGATATATGCCCAGAAATGCAATGGTGAACATCATTTTGCAAAAATGCTTTTGAGGTTGGAATAAACCCAACATACATAACTTCTAGCGGCTATGTTTACTTTACCCTCATGTGGCATTCAAGGATCTTGGTAGATGCACAAAGAAAGCACAATGCTGGGACTCCTCCAAAGTCTGATTAGTGATCTACTTCCTTTCGGCTGTATTATTTCTAAACTGTATTTTCTCAAAATACTTTTTATATGTCACACACAAACCCCCTCTTCAAGATCTCTGACCAGAACATCTTAGACATTCCAAAGCTGCTGTTACCCCAACAACAAGAATGCCTTCTTTGTCCACAGCCAGTCATTTCAGTGATCACATAAATGCTGGGAACAGCTGAGAGACTCACTTTTCTTCCAATGGTTCCCCCACCCCTTCACCTCCCCCCACCAAAAAAAAAGAAAGAAGGTCTGAAATAAAATGAGTCCAGATTATTGTGACAGTTCAACAATCTCATGTCTTTAAGATCACACACACACACAAAATTTTTTTGGTAAAACAAGACAAAATTATAATTTTTTTCTTCTCTGGACATCTTGCCTTAAAAAATAATTTTTGTCTCACATTAATTTTAAATATCATAACGAGTATTATGGATTTCTGAAAGAGCTGAAGGCATCGTGAAGTGCTGACAAGTACATTATTATGCAGACAGTCTAACTAGTTTCACGTTGTCTCTTGGATGATAGTAGATAAATTTCGTGGTTGGTGGGAGCACAAGCAATTGCTCTGAACCACAGTCGCAACAGTACTCACCTGACCTCATGCAAAATCTCTCTTCTGCTTTTTCTCAAAAGGGTGAAACCGGACAACCAGGATTCCCAGGGTCCATTGGCCCTAAAGGTCAAAAAGGAGAATCGGTAAGTATGAAAGCTTTTAGGACAAAGGAAGAATATTTTTTAAAAAACAGAATTAAAAATATTTTTCCTAATCAGCCCTAATTCTGTGAGCCTTGTTTGCCCCCGCCGTGGCAAGCAACAACAGATCAGATATTTGAGCAAGTGCTCTAGCAAGGCATGAAGTCACTCAATCTAAAAAAATAAGACAGGTAGGCTAATATCACCCCTATTCTTCATATGAGGCAACTGAGGCCCAGAGAGGTTAACTAACTTGCCCTATGTCACACAGCCAGTAAATGTTAGAGCTATGAATCACACTTAGGTAGGCTGATTCTAGAACACAGGGTTTAAAAATTACTAAGCTGCCCTTCTATAACTAAACATGATAGCTATAATAAATAATAAAGTCAATATATTGAAGACTGGGGCTAATATATCCAAAAGATTAGAAACGTGTATATATCTGCTCTTAGTATACTCTCTGAAGTTATTTTCCTTCCTTGGTTTTTATAAGATCAAAGTAGCTTCTCAAGCCACTTTTCAATATTACTGAGTCCCCTTTCTTTCAAGACTTAGTTTTTGCAGTAGGAGAAAACCTAAATTATCATTTATACTCAAATCAGACCGCCTAAAGAGATTACATGAATCCTAGTTAAAAATAGCTTTTTTTTTAATCCTGCTAAAAAACAAGAACAACCTACAGCAGCCCATAAGAATCAGCCAGAATCAGACTTAAATGAAGGACATTGGTTTAGCAGGGATAGTGAATGCAGAGGTCACGAAAATGCCCGCGTGCCAAACGGAAACAGTAGGAAAAGCATTTAATATTACAAAGCCAAAATTTCCCTGTGCTTTGGCTATAAAAATTAGGCTTGTTTGCAATAAGGGTAATTTTGCAGGCAGCGGTAGAGTGAGGGCTGTTACCAGAGTCCCCCAAACTGTCCTGCCTCCAGAGGTCATGCTTTCTCACCTTTAGTGTCTAGTCCAAGCTTCCGTATCCAAGTGCAAAATGTGACAGTCTTTAATAGGGCTTCCCGACTTCGTATTTCCAAGAATGTCTGAGAAACTCCCGTTCCACAAATCCAGCCTGGTGGTTGCTGCCCCTTCTACCTGCCTATTTACTCCTGACACTCCACACTTGTTGGCAGCTCTTACCATCTCCTAACTGCTTCTCTAGGTCTGCACTGTCTCCTCGCCAAGCTTGAACATTGACTTTCACCTCTTAAATTACTCGTGACACATGGCAGACCCAAACTGCACATTTTTATAAATTCTACTACCTGAAACACAGGAAGAGAAGAAAAGAGAAACTTCCAGTGGTTTAAGGGCAGTGTTTCCCAAAGGTGAAATGTGCACTTGAATTACCTGGGGCTCTTTTGAAACGCAGGGTCTCATTCAGGAGGGCTGGGGTGGGGCCTGAGAGGCCACACTTCTTACTAGTTCCCAGGTGATGCTCATGCTATTGGTCCATGGATCATGCTCTGAGTAGCAGGGGTTGGAGGATTTCACAGCTCCTAGGAAATCCGCTCTGGTTTTCTCTCCCACTGCAGGTGTTTGCAGGCAGCACAGCTCACCTACCTCCCTGAGATTATCTTTAGCCCTATCTGCCTTCCCCAGGAGAAACAGTCTTCTCTTCTTTTTACCTTTTCTGCTTGCCAGTTCCCTCTTAATCCCTTAATGATTCCGTGTCCCTTATACAGTAGTCCCACGTTGTACAAGGGGGATAGATTCAAAGACCTCCAGTGGATGCCTGAAACCGCCAATAGTACCAAACCCTATACAGATGACCCTGAACCACGTGGGAGTTAGGGCATCAACCCCCAGCGTAGTCGAAAATCTACATACAGCTTTTGACTCCCCAAAACCTAATTATTGATTGTCTACTGTTGCCCAGAAGCCTTACCAATAACAGTTGATTAACACATATTTTGTACATTATATGTATTACATACTGTATTCTTACCATAAAGTAAACTAGAAAAAAGAAATGCTATTAATAAAATCATAAGGAAGAGAAAATACATTTTACTGTACTGTAAAAAAAAATCCATATATAAGTGAACCCACGCAGTTCAAACCTGTGTTGTTCAAGGGTCAAGTGTATATACTATGTTTTTTCATATGCAGACAGGCCTATGAGGAAGTTTATTTTATTTTATTTTATTTTATTTTATTTTATTTAAGATTTTATTTATTTATTTGAGAGACGGAAAATGAGAGAGAGAGCATGAGACAGGGGAGGGTCAGAGGGAGAAGCAGACTCCCTTCTGAGCAGGGAGCCCAATGAGGGACTCGATCCTGGGACTCCAGGATCATGACCCGAACCGAAGGCAGTCGCTTCACCAACTGAGCCACCCAGGTGCCCTGAGGAAGTTATTTTATAAACTAGGCACAGTAAGAGATTATCAACAGTAATAATAAAATTATAATAATATACTGTAATAAACATTATATGAATATGGTCTCTCTCGGAATATCTTGGAATACACAACCTTCTCAGTCACCATGCAGGGAAAGTGGGACTGGAGAATCAGGAATGGGCTTCTCCTTGCTTCAGCCTGCAAAGTACACATGTCACTTCTGCTCACGTGTCATTGCCAAAACTAGCCACATGGCCCCAGGAAACAGCAAGGGAGCAGGGAAATATGGGAGAGAAGAGTTGAGCCCTGAAAATCCCTAGTACAGAGCACAGGAGGTGAAAACCACAGGGGTTCACTTACTAACCACTTATCTCCCCTTAGTGATTTGTTTAAGGGACTCACAGTCCCTAAGGGGACCTTCAAGAGGAGTATTATCTATCATATGGTTCTCACACTTTCTCTTGACTTTCCTATGCAAAAGAAAAAATTTTTTAAATGAATGGTTTCCACCTTATTGTCAGTTCACTCAATTCAAATCATAAGTAAATCAAATTACAAATCAAATCAGACTGAGCAACCAAAGCCCAGGATTGAAGTCAGGCTGTCTAGGTTTAAATCCTGAATGACCTCTCACTGGCTATATGACCTTGGGGAAATTACTTAACTTCTCTGGGCCTCAGTTTCCTCATCCAGAAATGGGTATACTAATCATACCTACCCCAGTGACACATAAGAATTAACAAGAACAGTGATTAGATCAGTGTTTGATACATTATAAGGACTTAATGAATATCAGCTATTATTGTTATATCTGCATAACTTGAAATTCTCTAATAAACTTTTACTGGGCACCAACAGAGTACACCAGAAATGCTGTGATAGTCAAGACCAATTATATCCTTACATTCACAGAGTTTATAGGCAAGATAAACAAAGAGACATAAAGTGGGTGAGTGCTATTTTAGGGGAAATAACTCAGAGTTACTCAGAACCTTTCTGAGTCTCTTTCCTCATGCTTGAAATGAGACCATATCTTCCTCACAGCATTGTTGTGAAGAGTAAATGAAATCATGTCCATGTAACTTCAAGAGGAGAAGCTAATAGAAAGTGTGTATGTGTGTGAGAGAGAGATCATCTCTGTGAACCATGCAAGAGGAAGCTTTGGCTTTGGCAGCTTTCCAATTTGTTCCACTCAGCATTCTCGAAATAGTATTAGCATGATTAACTTATATTGTTCACTGGGGAATATGAAAGAGTTTTTAAATTAATTCTCATATGCTTCCTTTAAACTGTGCAAGCAGACTGTGTGACATTCTGAGTCATTTTAGCGGCTGCTTTGTGACAGAGGTCTGAGTTTGGCCTGCTGGATTTATCCATATCCAGTTTTGGAGGGTTTCTCAAAGGGTTCATAATTGATTCTGTTTTCTACCCATTTTCTAGGGAGAACTTCTTACTAAAGGTGAAAAGGGAGATAGAGTAAGTAGATGTTTTATCAGTATCTTGGGTTTTCTACTTCATTGATTTCTATCTCTCTGATTTCTCAAATATTTACTTTGGAGTTTAATAGATTTGATAAAATAAGCTCTCTGAGCATTTTAACTTTTTCCTCTGTGAATTTTGACTCTTTTAATTAATAAATTATAAACCTTGTTAAGTTTCGTCATGTGATGACACTTTACCATTTGGCTTGGGTATTATATATTTTCTTTAACCATTACTATTTGTGATTGGACATGGATGTTTTGAAAGATGTACACTTAAGATATCTAAAATACAAAATTAAAACGCAAGATACAGTTTTTTCAAAAATTCTGTTAATGATGCAGGTTAAATTTATCAAACAGGATGATTTTATCAAAAGGATCAATAATAAGTCATGGAAATAAGAAAAGCAAACTCATAATAGCCAATATGGTCCTCTTTTGGGTAACCTTAATTTTTTTTTTTCATTAAGTACATATACACAATGGTAGAATCACCAGAACATCAACTTAGATTTTACTCTTTCTTTTCCCCCTTCATTTTCTTTTCCCCCTTCATCTGAGGTGTTAATCCTCTGAGATATAAGATTAGTTGGTGGCAAGTCACGAAAATGTCAGCTAAGTGGAGAATGCAGTGATTGCTAATGAACTCTGATGATTATAGAGTCAAAGTGATACTGGGGGAAAAAAACTGTTAGAAAGAAGAAAGAAACCCTGAAACCAACACTACACTATATGTTAACTAACTTGAATTTATATTAAATAAATAAATGAAAGAAAATAAGGAGTTATTGTTTACATATTAGCAATAAGTATTTTAAATCATGTTTTAGAATGACCTCTCCTTGCCTTCATCATGTCATCCATAAGTCCCCCTATATTATGTTAATTATTAGAAATGCAGATGAATTCAAGTATTAGAGATGCTCATCCCCATCTGAGTTTAAGCATTACATAAATGGTAATTTTCTTTTTTTACAGGGAGAACCCGGGCTAATGGGATCACAGGGAATAAAGGTAATCTCCTGACCTTCTTCATTGCATCTCCGATCCAATGAGATTGTGAAGATTAAAGTAACCATTTCACTTACCTTCCCACCCATGTGTTCAGGGTGAACCTGGAGATCCTGGTCCCCCCGGTTTAATAGGAAGCCCAGGACTAAAGGTATATAAGAAATAACTGAGATAAAAGAAGAAATAATTTTGGAGTTATAGCCATTTCCGTGTAAAACAAATGGCTCTGATGTGCCACTCGTTTTCTTCACAAAAGTTCTCAGAGACTTTATCATGTTTCCATGGTGATTTCCCCCCATTGGCTGCATTTATTACACTCATAGTAATTGTGCCTTTTGGTTCACAGTCGGGTTTTTAAACTCTTCTTCAGAGCATATTCACAATAACATCCCTAAAAGGTTTAGAGTAAACAATGTGAGCAAAACCTATGACCCTGAGCTATATACTTACAGTGAATGGGATTCAAGATTCAATCTCTTAACCAAATTTATGCAGATGCTTGAGATCCCCATGTGGGATTCCACAAAAGTATCCCAAGAAAGACCAGCCATGGGGAGGAGTGGGAAAGACTAATGTGATGTACTCCCACCCAATGGGTAAGGCAGGTTATCCTGGCCTCCCTTGCTGGTGGGAAAAGACCCATTTAAATGAGAACATCTCCAAACTATCTTTGTAAAGCCCAAAGCACATTTCAGAATTATTCAGAGAAGGTAGGATGATAGAAAGCCTGCCTTGCTCTGTAAAAATCATACCATGTTTTACATGTATTCAGCTACAATCTATTTTTTTAATAGAGCTGAAGGACATTTCACCTTCTCTTTTAGGGTCAACAAGGACCTGCAGGTTCTATGGGACCTAGAGGACTGCCAGGAGATACCGTATGTAGAGCAAATACAAGTGTCTTTGATATGTGGAAATTAAATTAACGTCTTAAAGAATGTCCACATCTTTTCATGTGACTGAGTTATACTACATTTTCCAAAGACATGGGTCATCTCTACTACCAAAACTTATCACACCTGATGTCAGGGGTTATTAGGAAGGCTAGTAACTTCCTATATTCATATGAGATCCCTTTGAATATCATTAGCCTAATAAATCAGTCTTTAGAAGTCAAGTTAACTAAGTTATCACCTTGGACGTGCTTGTCACTGGTGTTCCACCAGTAACAGAGACGGGAAACATCAAAAGAAATAAGGAAAACTAAGATAGGAAGCAAGCATTTTCATTATGCATGGCTTTGGTTTAATTCTCCATCCAAAAAGGACACTTCTTAAGCTTCTATTGTTGTTTTCTTACAAGAGCCTCTAAAAAAAAAGCAAGTCTTTTGGCTGAAAATATCTCTCTAATGCCATTGGAGAAGAGTCCTCAGGTTGCATAACCTAATTCTAGTGGTCCCATTATTCTTTCTGTCTGTCTCTCTCTTTCTCTCTGTCTCTCTCATGTCCTTTAAATGCACTTTTCTATCCATTTCCCCAGCTAAGCCTTTTGTTCCTTCAACAACTGCCCTAGCCTGGCCTTCCACAATTTGGGAGTTAAGACTCACCATCATCCTCACTTGAGCGAAATAAGAGAAATGTCTGGCCATAACTTCTTGGAAACTGATCCCTGTCTGGCCACAATTCCAGCACTTTCTATGCAACTATTAGAATCTCTCTTTTTCTCATCATCTTGAGAACAGCCCCATGACCTCCTGCTGTATCCTCCAAGCTTCCTGACTGAGCCTCCACGGGTCTCTTTTTCAAAGCATTTGTTTTGCTTGGTACTTTGAACACTCAGTTTGTAAGCAAAGCTTTTTGTTGCTCCCCCAAAGCCATCTAATGAGCCAGTAGAGTGCACCTAGTGGAGAGGTCTTATGGAAAGAGAGAAAATGCTGGTGGCACAGGTGGAGACATAAGTTGCCCAAGAAGTGAGATTAAGTGATAGTGGCTGGAGCTGAGAAAGAGAATTAAATCAAAAGGGAAAGAGCCACTGTTGCCAAACACAGTAAAAGTATATTTTCCTATTTAGCCCATCATCCTTCTAAATCATATGATGCTACCAACCACCATCCCTCCACTTTCCATCCAATAACATGGACGGGGCATTTGGTTCAATTCTCCCTTATTTGGTTTCTTTTCCATTACATCCAGGTCACTTCACTTGAAACAACAAGCCACATATTTTCACTAATGCGTTTTCCTCTTTAACAGGCCCAAATCAACCCATCCCTTCATACTTTGTGTGTTACAATTCTGTTCTCCTGACAAAGACTCACAGGTAGAGATGTTCTTATAATAAGAGATACTCTAATTGTTCTTTCCCATGAATTCTGAATTTTCTAGGGATTGCCAGGAGAACATGGTATCCCGGGAAAGCAAGGCATTAAAGGAGAAAAGGTAGAGCTTCCATTTTATCCATTTTGTAAATTAAGTAGTTCAGTAGGAGGAAGAGACAGAGGATCATAAGGGCTTTGGGGGAGTGAAGGGATAGGACAAAGCGGCCAGGACTGTGCAGGGGATAGATAACCACAGAAATGATGGCATGAGCTGTGCCCCCTGGAGTTCTGCACTGTGACAGCCCTCGTTCTGACACAGAAACACAACGTGACAAAATGAACTGACTTAGCGATGAAGACCTCAGGACTGGGAAACTCTGTTTCAAGCTCAGCGGCAGACTCTGGAGTAGCTCTAGGAAGCCTCCATCTTTTAGGACCTTTTTCCTGTTGTCTACAGGGAAATAGTATATTAATGTTGAACCTTCACTTAGAAATAAAGAAAACATAAAAATCATTTAAAGAACTTCTGAATGGATGCCCTTTTATGCATATATTCATGTACATGCATATGGCATGATACTGCAAACTTATTGTCACATAACTCACCACAAAATGTAAATGCATTTAAGATAACTAGAACAGTGCCTGGCATAAATGAGGCCCTCAGTACATATTGTTGAACAAGTGAATGAATGAGAAAATGAAGTTTGGCTATGATGACAACTCAAAGCAATGGAAACTGCCTCCACAACTCCCCCCACAAACCTGAGCAATGAAGTAAGAATCTTACCTTGTCTTCCTCAGGGAGATCCAGGTGGGATTGTAGGCCCTCCTGGGCTTCCAGGTCCAAAAGGTGAGGCTGGTCCTCCAGGGAAAAGCCTGCCAGGGGAACCGGTAAGTACCAGCCCTTTTCCTAATATCTCCCTTGAAAGTTCATTAATTACCACCTGTGTGTTCCCAGTTTCAGATCACAAGTATAGGAATCAATTGAGATCTGCAGAAAGAGAAATATTCATCTTTTTCTTTAGGTCCGAGCTCTAACCTCTTTGGAAATTTGATGCAGGTGAAGGGCTCTCTTCCGCAAATAAAATGCACGTACCTATTTTACATAGAGTTTTGAAAGATTCATAGGCCCCCCTGTATCTTCTGCATGAATTCTTTAGGGATCCAAGGAGCTAGTAAGATACACTAGTTTAAATCATAAGCCTTCCTAGGACGCTATGTTAAAACAGAAGAACTGCCTGAAATTTTCTTTCCAGATGCTCTGCAGGGATGGCCATTCACGGTCATTTGCAGAAAATGTCCTTGTGGCTGGGCAATTTCCAGGACATAGAAAAACTAAATAGCTGGAAAATCTAAATAACCAATATGCCTATTTCACATACTTTTTTTTCTCATCCTCTTTGACTTTTTATATTAATTGTTGATAATAAATAGTTCTCGGTATTGATGCCTCATTTTAAAGATAAAAACATCTTTTTTATTATTAAGTTTTTTATTTTAATTCCAGTACATAGTGTTATATTAATTTCAAGTGGATAATATAGTGATTCAACAATTCCATATATCACTCAGTGCTCATCAGGATAAGTGCACTCTTAATCCCCTTCACCTTTTTCACCCATCCCCCACCCACCTCCCCTAAAAATGAAAACACCTTGTATTTTAAAGTAACTATACAAAATCTATAACCTAGCAAAATATGTATTCCCTGTTTCTTATTTTTTTACAGAAAGGGGTTTATTCAAGAAGGATGAAGCACCATGAACCATTTTTGAGTTAAACTTCTAAGATGCTTTTAACCTTTTTAGAAAAAGAAATGTATTTACCTCGTTTTTTTTCTTTTAGGGATTAGATGGAAATCCTGGAGCACCTGGTCCTCGTGGGCCAAAGGTATGAAAATATCATAGATAATTTCTAAAGAATTAATAAGAAAATACAGCCTGGAATTTTGTGAGCCTCGCACTAATGGAAGCCTCTGGTTGCACAGGGCGAGCGAGGACTGCCGGGCGTCCACGGTTCCCCAGGTGACAGAGGTCCACCGGGGGTGGGAGTTCCTGGCCGAATAGTAAGTAAAATTCCATCAAGCTTTTGAACTTTGTCAACTCCAATAATCAAATAAAATCCAGTGACAAACTTGAATCAGGAGAAAGGAATAAAATGGTCAGAGGAGGAAATATAAACACTAGTCAGAGGGAGAGAATTGATGAGCATTGAGGTTACATAGCTGAGCACAGAGACGGTGCTATTTACTGATGTACAGATGCTGGTCTCGTGTACACTGATTTGGGGTTAGAAGCAGTTATTTAACCCTTTGTTCCTCCATTCTACATATTAAAAAGTACAAATGAATGTTTGTAAGATGATACAAGTGCCTAAGATTAGATTTTATATATTACTGTCTGTTTTTAGTGAGAATAAAATTAAAAGTTAATATTTAAAGTGAATGGAGCATATATAAATGAGATGATGTCAAAAATCTCTTAAGTAATATCTTCAGGAAGAGAGAATAGAAGTCGTTTATAATAGGGAAGACATAGAATGGGCAGTTTTTTAATGTGTTTTAGCTACAAGGACAGTGCCTGATAATAATGACCACTGTATGCAAACTTGTTGACTAAATAGTAATGAGAACTCTGTATTTACTATGAAAAAAACCCTAAAAGATTCTGGAACAAGAAAAGTGGGAAATAAACACTAATTCTAATGGCATTAATTTGGGAAATTGGCCTTGTAATGAAATTATCATGAGAGCTAAAAGAAGGCATAGTGAATGGTTACATTGTGTATGATTGGTTCTCCGGGGCAAGAATATAAAAGACCACTGGCGATGGGAGATTAAACACAGTAACAAAACAGATCGGGAAATTATTAAAGGACTGAAGGAGGCTGAAGCAAAAAATAAAAAAAAATATATTAATAACTAAGGACACAGTATAAATAGAAAGGGTACAAAAAGTAGCTTTGACAGTAATAGTGATATGAATATTTATTTTAAAAAAACAAGAAAGGAAATGTGGGTGAGCAGCTACTGAAGTCAGCTGCTGAGAACCCCGCCACTTATTTACCTAGGTTGTCAACTCCTCCTTCCATGATCTGTGTTTACGTAGCAGGGAGGGAGCTCTTGTCATTAGGTTCACTGATCACTGCCCAGCCTCATGTGGCTTCCCCCAAATTCCAATTTACTAACGTAGAAAAGAATGGCGATTGATGCTTTACTGCCTACTCCCTGTCCCTGAACACTGGTTCTGGTGATTTCTTCAAACGGAGAAATGACTCGAAGTAGAAAGCAGAAAAGCAAGCAAGTCCTGAGCCAGTCACCTTATCAGCAGCCAGTTTCTGAACAGATAGAATGTGGGTGCACCGTGTGGTCGTGAAGGTACAGGGACAGATAATGGTACCAAGAGAGATAGCCTAGGGCATCTGAGCAAAATCCTTCTGATGGTTCCAGCAAAAGGCATCTGCTTAAGTATTTACCTGCCATCCAAAAGTCTTAGCCAACTTCACAGGAAGTTTTCAGGGGGTGCAAGGTGACAAGCCTTTGTTGTTCCACTAAGTAAATTACAATATATAGCTCTTTATCGCCCTTGGATAATTTATGGACATTCCTGGAAGAATTCTGATAATTGGATCTCATTCTGCTCAGGGCTCCCAAGGACCCGCTGGAGAGCCAGGTATTCAGGTAAGCTACTTAACCAAGTTATTTGGCATAACAAATCCAGCTTGCTTACTTGGAGGAAATTACTGAAAAACTGTTCTCATAAGTAACTATTCCCTCCCCCCTTCTAGGGTCCTCGAGGTCTCCCTGGATTGCCAGGGACTCCAGGGACCCCAGGGAATGATGTAAGGAGCATCTTTACCTCCCCTTCCCCACCACCCTATTTTAATCTACACCTGTGCCACCGTGCAAAGCTTTGAACACGATGATTCTGTTTTCAGGGAGCTCCAGGGAGGGATGGAAAGCCAGGTCTGCCAGGCCCCCCAGGTGACCCGGTAAGTCAACAGACTATGCCCACCTGATTTATGTATCTTTAATGCACCCAGAAGCCAAACAGCCTATCAAGCAACTTTTACTGTCCAAACTAATTAGAATGCTCAGTGACTGCTTGGTGATTTTGTTTATCCCCATTATTTTGTAGAGGGGAAAAAAATTCAGGCTGCATCAGCATTTTTTTGTGTGTGTGTGATGAATACTTATTTCCTAAGGGTATAATTCAGCTATACAATTTTGCCCCAGGCTGAGTCTTGGCACATAATGTCTCAATCCCATGGAAAATTGAGTTAAAATACATAGCCACAATTTTTGTTCTTTCTAATGCCACTGACTAAATGAATTTCATTTTTCTAAATGAAAGTTTGCAGGTAAGTTACCTACAATATGGTACATAGCCATTGATTCTGTGGCTTTAAAATGCTTAGATGATTAAATTATAAAAACCGGCTTGAGTAGGCTCTTAAAAAATGGGTTTAGGCGCTAAATGTGTGTTCCAAAGTTTTATTTCAGGATGAACCTGGCTTTGAGCGACAGAGAAATCCCTTTAAATAGCCTCAGAATCGACAGTTACAATTTGAGAGGCCATATGGTACAATACATTGTATTAAGAGTTTTGTATGATAAAATCCAAATCTGGCCTCTCGGTTCTAAGTCTCACAAATCCTTCTCCCTCCCACACTGGGTGGGCCTTATGTGCCTTTATAAGCTACGTACAGAGGCATATTTTGGCCTTACTTTAACTCCACTGCCGAGTGTATCGTGTGTGTATCATCTAGGATTCTTATAAAGTGTTACTTGGGTTTGCAGCATCTCTCCAAAAGGACAATTTAAGACACGAGGCCCCGAACACTGCCTGAGTTCCCTCAGCGTCTCTCTTGCAAATCACTGAAGCCACCTGTTGGCTCTTTTGAACTTCAGTGAGAAAGAACTTTAAGACAAACTCGTTCTAGACTTTTCATATTTCTCAACAGCCTGATAATTTGTTTGGCAGAGTGGTGACTTCCTTTTAATAAATGATTTACTTTTATGTATTATTTAAAGCCAAGAATATATGAAGGTTGGCATAAAAGTTGCCATGTCATGAAAATATAAAATAGAGATGCAGACTCCAAACCACAATATGGGTATCTTTACATGTTCATCGCAGAGGAATAGTGAATACTTCTCAAAGTTATGAATCCTGTCAGTGTCATATGCCTATTTTGTGATCTGAAATATAAAGCCAACCATTCTGACAGTGAGGCTCTTAGAAGCCCCATGACAAATCTCAACTGGCATGACGCTTTGAGGAAAAACATGTACAATATATCGTATGTTTGTATTGTATTATGTGCATGTATGTGCATAAATACATGTATTTGGGTTTTTTCTCCTTAAATGCAGATTGCACTTCCTCTCTTGGGAGACATCGGTGTCTTGCTTAAGGTACTCTGTTGCTATGTAAGAAATTACATGTTAATTTTTAGGAAAAAATGAGAAAGGAAATCTTTATCAGGGCTAAAATTCAATTTTTTAAGAGGCAGAACATCTTTAAGGTAGAAAAAGGAACATATATTTTTATGTATCTTGTGCCACTTGTACTAATCCCTCCACTCTCCTCTTCTTTACCTCCCTGTCAGTTTGGGTGTGAGGGGTGGTGGGTGAAGGTGGTAGTTCTGAGATGAGCTACACGGAAGGAGCAGTGCCATCAACACCCTTGAGTAGACCATTCTCTTCTCTGGAGCGATGGCTTTCACCTCATGGGTGTTTAGCCGCCCTGGCTCACTACTGTGAAACCTAACCCTTCTTACTTGGACCTACCCTCACCAGTCCCAGGATGAAAACCTGTGCTGCTCAATAAACAGCTAGCTTGCAGAGCTGAACTTTGATGTCATGGGATTTTACAGAGTGAGTTATAGAATTCCAAAGCCAACAATTGCCCTAACACCTGTTACTCTGTTAAATAAAAGCTATCTCTACCTATTATTCATCTCATAAGGAATAAATCTTGCTCCCATTTTTGTCTCTAATACTATCCTGTGTTTTATTTGTAATACAGATGGGGGAGAATGATAATGGATACCTGTAAGGTTATGTATTTGTAATATTTTTTCATGGCACGCTAAGATCGCGTGAACCCGGATGAAAATCGGTCCCTTCACATTATACTCAAACCTTATATGTCCTATCTATCTATATATGAATGGACAGTGTATATGAGTATACACACGTGCACGCGCGCGCACACACACACACACACACAAACTTAGGCTATATGTGTATATATGCGATTTATTTTATATTCCTAGCATTTAGCCCAGTGGTTTGTGCAATGACTTACATAATAGTAGGCAGGCAGGAATATTTGTTGATTTAAATTCAAAGACTCAAGAATTCTGGTATAAGTATTTGCTAGATGATTAAAATTTTGAGAATATATATAAATATCAATATAAATATGAGTATCAATATAAAAATAAATTATAGGAGGTTTTTAAGACCTTCAGACCTTCAAAAGTCAACATTTTCTTATAAGTCAAAAGAGAGTGTTTATGGGAATTTTAGAAAGGCCTTATATTCATTGAGTTACAGTTACATGGCAGGCAATACACTTCTTTACTTACAGCATCTCACTTAATCTTCACAGAAATCCTGTAAATTTAAGACTGTGGTAGTATCCCCATTTGGTACATTAGAAACTGATGTTCTAAGCAGCTAAGTAACTTCCTCAGAGTCACACAGCTAGAAAGCCCAACATTAACCCAGGAACACAGGTCCTCACGCATTGTCTTTGGTTCTTCACAGGGCAGTAATGCTGGAAATCATAGGACTCTTAAGAGTTAAACCTAACCATTCCAGAATAGTTAGGATCAAAACTTGTACCCTTCGGCAGAAATGAATATCCTAATAGAATATAGGGTGGCTCACAGAATAGACAAAAAGACTGAATAGGCTCTGATGAGAACCAGGACTCCAAAGCCCTCAGATGTGGACATAATTGATGGGTTCACCAGGGCAGCATCCCTTTAATGAGTGTGCTCTGCCACTGGTCCAGCCCTGACATTATCTCACTGAGGTTCTGAGTCCCAGGAGAGCTGATGCGTGAGAGGCAGGACACCTCAACTGAGAGTCCCATCAAACTGCATTCCAGAGAAGGGGCAAGTTCCCCACAGTGGAATCCAAATACAGGGACTTAGTTTGGAGTCTGGATCTGTTAGGTCAATCCAATGTAATTTTAAATTCTGATCTTATTTCCCAATGCATTAAGTCTCCCTCTCTTGTCTAGAGTCTTTAGAAAACTTTGTCATCTGCCTTCTGTTTTCAAAAGTATCTTTGATTAAAATGTAGTAAAGAACTGACATAATTCCAGAACCAATGGCCCTTCAAAGACTTTGTGTAGGTTAATCTATGTATCCGTCCCTCTTTGAGATTGTACATTGGCTAATAATTGATGCATCTTTATTCTCTCTATAAGAAAAATCTAAAGACTTTTTTCAAGACCCTCAATGAAATCATTTCCCTTGATTTGCCATTCTGGCAACCCTAACCTAAAGAAAATGGGGTCTGTTTAAAATGACTCTGAGAAAATTTTATTGACTCAATGATTGCCATTCTTTTATGTTTTATTAAAACAGTCAATTGAATAATACATCCTAAAATACTGCTGAGTGTTGATATGCCAGGGTTTTGCTCCATATTGATATATGTCACATTTATTCATCTACAGATACAATAATTCATCTTCTTCATGCTTTTTGAAATATAGAAAACTTCTTGGTTCTCATAAGTCCTCTGGCATCTCTCTCTCTTCATAGTTTTTCAGATATTATAAGTAGTGGATCTACAATTATATATATATATACATATATATATATATATATACATATATTTTTTTTTTACTTCCTCTACCAACACATCAGCTCTGGGAAGAGATCCTGACGGCAAAATTAGTTCTGGAAATGTTGCACACTCTGGCTCCCTTTTACGTACACCAGCTCTAGGAATGGACCACCATGAAGAGAGAGGTCTTTAATCCAGCATTTTTTAGAGAAATTGCCTCAGAAACTTTTCAACAATATATGGAATTAGTCTTCCAAGGAGAGTATTTTTGGAAATCAGACTTATTCTGATATTCACTGAGCAAAAATATTGGGCTTGAATAGCCATGAGCTTTCTTGCCAACTTCTCATTAATGGCAAGCTTCAGTTCCCTTTTTTACATTTCAAGATTCTTCCCTTTGGTGAAAAGAATGGAAGAGAGTCTGTTATTGTCCTACCTTCTGTCAACTGTTAAAATTAAACCATCTCCTCCACCCAGTGGTCCCTATTCTGTGCCTTTCCTGATCATATTCTTACTCTAACAATTTAAAAATAAGCCTTTTTAGGGCTTTTCATGAGCACTTTTTCCTTAGCAATGTGATAAGAAGTTTATCTTGTGAGCTCAGACACTTAAATTTAAGACTTTCCAGATCAGCTAAAGGTTACAGAGAAGGCAATGGCAAGGTAATTCCACTTAGATTTCCTATCTGCACTTGGATTTGACAAAGAGTCAAGTCCAAGTCACTCAAGTAATTATTTCTCACATGAGTGCTTCCACTGACAATGTTGGTAAACTGTGTGTAGCGTCCGCCAACTAATTTTGTTCTCAAAAGGAGAAATCCTCTCTTCACAGCTTTTTCTTTCTTTCTTTCTTTCTTCCTTTCTTTCTCTTTCTTTCTTTTTCTTTCTTTCTCTTTCTTTCTTTCTTTCTTTCTTTCTTTCTTTCTTTCTTTCTCTCCTTTTTAATGATTTATACTATTGGTTGTGTGAGGTCTGTAATCTTGTTGGTTATTCTGAACTTTATTACTACCTCCCTTTTTAAACATGCTGCTAAACAATTGAAAGAGTCTGTGTTCTTGACTTATGTGTCTTTTCCTTATATATTTGGAATTTCCCACTTACATATCATCGTAGACATGCTTTTTATTTTAAAATTTATTTATTTATTTAAAGATTTTTTTATTTGACAGAGACACAGCAAGAGAGACAACACAAGCAGGGGGAGTGGGGGAGGGAGAAGCAGGCTTCCTGCTGAGCAGGGAGCCCAATGTGGGACTCGATCCCAGGACCCTGGGACCATGACCTGAGCTGAAGGCAGATGCCTAACAACTAAGCCCCCCAGGCACCCCTTTATTTATCTATTTCAGAGAGAGAGAGAGAGAGTGCACACATGAACAGGGGGTGGGGAGAGGGCGATGGAGACAAGCAGACTCCCCACTGAGCTGGGAGCCCTACGTGGGACTCAATCCCAGGACCCAGAGATCATAACATGAGCCAAATCAGGAGCCGGATACTCAACAGACTGAGCCATCCAGGTGCACCAACATGCTTTAAAAAAAAAAAAAGTCACCAATATCATAAACAGATACAACTGTCTAGCTTCATACGTAGTTTTTACCTCACAAAAAGTAGTCTTTTCAAATCGGATTAATTAAGTCTCTGAAAGTAGTGATATATCAATTTCTGTATCATTGGTCTCTGACAAAAGTTCAAATCTGATCAGACCTCACTTTTATAGATTGCTTTGACGAATCGCTCAGTAACCTTATCTCTATGCTCATTAGAACTTCTGTGGCAACTGCCAAGCCAGTGTCCCCGGGCTGAAAAGCAACAAAGAAGAAGCTGGTGCTGGTGAGCCTGGAAAGTACGATTCTATAGCCCAGAAGGTGAGGAGGCAGGCTGGATGTTGATGGCCCTATAGCTTACACCTAGTGCCTTCTCTCACTTCTTCACTGCTCCGTCCTCTAGGGTGATACAGGCCCGCGGGGTCCTCCAGGAATCCCAGGCAGGGAGGGACCAAAGGTAGGGCAGTTTCTCCTCTACTCTCTGTGCTACTTCCAATTCAGTGTGAAAAAACAAACCAATTTTAAAACACACTACTTTTTAAAAGAAATATTTTGGAAAAGTGTAAAAGCCATTTGCAAATGTCATTTTTTTGTGCCCTGACTCTGTCCAAATTACGTTCCAAGCATACTAAGAAGAGATGTTTTTGTTGTTCTAAAAGATGACAAAACGATTCAGTATACTAGCTGAATTTCTTGTCTTTTTAGGGAAACAAAGGAGAGCGGGGCTACCCTGGGATACCTGGTGAGAAAGGTGATGAGGTAAGACTTTTCTCTGATAATATAGTCCTGCTATTGGTTCTCTTTGTAGAACTCAGAGGAAGGACATCAACCTCTCTGTAGCTCATGTTTAATGCTAAATCAAATAAAAACAAAGATTTAGGTAGGTTGTTTCAAATGTCAACACAATTTAAATAATAATACATTGATGTTTATTAGCAGTGGTTCAGTTTTTGAGAGACGGAAAATAAAGCACAGAGTTGACCCCTCAGTTACTATGTTTTTGTTTTTAATGTAGCAGATAGCAGTTCCAGCTCTCTCGAGATAAAAGCAAGGATTTACTGAAAAGAATCCTGAGGTAGCTAGTGGAATTGAAGGAATAGTTGAACAAACAGCCTAAGGACAAGGGACAGCTCCAAAATGCAGCAGAACTTCCCTGGGATACTGCTGCAAGGTGATTCAACTTCAGTGACCTTGGTTTGTCTGTGTCTCTGCTCAACTTTCATACTCTTGGGAGAAAAAAAAGAAAAACTATCTTAAGGATCTGATTCAACTAGTTTAGATCAGCTACCAACCCCCGGACTAAGGCTCAAAGTCAAATGTACTTTTGAGACGATGGTATAATTTTCTGACTCTAAGCCATGGTGATGCTCAGGATATCATTCTTTTCCTGCATAATTTACCTTAACTCTTAGAAAAACTAATTAGGATGATGAATTGTTGTTCATTTGAACAGTTTTGATGCTAATAATTCTTAATGAAAGTAAGTAAGCCATCTGGCATATATTAACCTTGATGTTAGTACTGAAAATCATAACTGTATAAAGTAGATCTATTTTTCTGAGTCAGAGTTATATTTCATGTTACAAATTATCACCATGTGTTATTGTTTTTAATATTGATTCCATTCTAGAAAACTGTGAGAATTAGCTTGCTTTTTTCCAAATTAAAAATTAAAGAACAGGGGCGGAGCAAGATGGCGGAGGAGTAGGAGACCTGGATTCGTCTGGTCTCAGGAATTCAGCTGAATAGGGATCAAACCATTCTGAACACCTACGAACTCAACAGGAGATCGA